GCCCAATTTGAGCGGTTCTCATACATTCTCTCTAACGGCTACCGCTGAAATTGGGCCTGATACAAACTATTACAAGTTTGTGCTCGTTACGGCCAGATTTTGGCCGTAACGCTGATTGGCTGTTAGAACAATGCCACAAGAAGTGATTGGCTGTCGGAAACGCCGGAAGTTAGAAGCGCTTATTCCTCGCGTGGTTGTTTTCGTGACTGATCCGTCGTCGGTGGAGAGAAGGATCGATTTTGCTGTCTTTTTTATTTTTTTTATGGTCTTATGGTAGAAAAATATGCCTTAATATGTGCCATGGAAATTCAGAAAATTCATGTGGTTGTTCATATCTTCTTAGGATTTGCTTTAATTACGGAAGGTGAGTGTATCGCGGAGTTGAATCCCTCTGCAAGTTGTTGACCGCTAACAAGGTGCATTTTGATTTACCAACAAGCGGGTGCAAATCAAAAAACTGTCCATCTTAAAACTGGTTTCATTTGAAAGTTTAGCCGGGAATGACTTCTCTGAACGGGGTACGCAAGTGGAGGTTCACTGCGAAAGAAACCTTAATCGCCAACTGTGAAATATTACACGAAAAAAATCGCATCGCTGTTCAAGGAATTTTCAGTGTTCACAGACTGGTTGTTTGACTACGGGAGAGTTGAAAAAACTGACCCCCACTCCGCGGACTACCCACTGACCCCACTCCGCGGACTACTCTACGGACTACTCCGCGGACTACTCTACGGACTACTCCGCGGACTACTCTACGGACTAGTCCGCGGACTACCATGCGGACTACCCTAACTAATCAACCAAATTTACTTTCACGGAGAAAAGAGTTAGAAGAAGCGTACCTGCCTACAAGATCACACTTGATAAACAGCCGCCATCTTGATTTTCGCCATTTTACTCGACCCAGCCCTTCTTCTTCATTGCTACGTCCATTGCAGCTTCCGTTCTTGGATCGTCACGCAACGCTTCTCTCCAAACCTCGCGTGACGATCCAAATAACGACTGCGTGCCCTACGTAGGAGAATACGTCTCCAAGGGCCTTGTGGGCCAGGTGAATCCAAAAATATGGTGACTTCCAAGCACGGCTATAAGTAAGTTCTTAAAAACATTTTTAAGCTGAATATAACAAAAACTGTTACCAGCGCCAATAGTGGTCATCGATTGGCTGAACGGCGTGCTCTGACTTGTGGCCGATGAAGACTGGGGCGAGGCTAAAGGAGAGCTGGGTCGAGTAAAATGGCGAAAATCAAGATGGCGGCTGTTTATCAAGTGTGATCTTGTAGGCAGGTACGCTTCTTCTAACTCTTTTCTCCGTGAAAGTAAATTTGGTTGATTAGTTAGGGTAGTCCGCATGGTAGTCCGCGGACTAGTCCGTAGAGTAGTCCGCGGAGTAGTCCGTAGAGTAGTCCGCGGAGTGGGGTCAGTGGGTAGTCCGCGGAGTGGGGGTCAGTTTTTTCAACTCTCCCACCTCTGAAGCCCGAACCCACACATAGTGCGCTTGGGCTGCCTGTGGTTTGTGGTGACGAGGTCGATCGCGCATTTGAAGAGAAAATTCTCGAAGACCTTCAAGTTGGAAAGTTTGAATTAATTTTTACACACCCCGAGGTAGCAGTAAGCAACAGGCAATGTAGAGACCTTTTTTTGTCGGCTTACTACCAGAAAAATGTTAGGTGGTGGTTGATGAAGCACATTGCATCATTGAGTGGTAAATTATGATCATCATTACTTTTTGTTGTTGTTTTTCTCTGTTTGACATTTTGTTAATACTTTTAAGGTTATAAGCTTCCTTTATGTTAGGGCTAAAAATAGCCCCTACACCTATTGTTAAGTTCCTGTTTCCTAGACTCAAATTTTGGGTTACATGATCACTTTTGTCACCTCACACCTGAAAGGATTTAACATTAAGTTAGTTTTGTAGTCCGTCAACCTTAGCTGCTACTTTATGAAGATTTCACAAAGTTTATGAATTCAATGTTCTCACACCGGGATCCAGACTCCAAAATTTGAACTATACAATGAAACTGAAAGTTTACTACGTGTATTTACTTTGCAAGGACACAATGAGCTGTTTCTATTCTTATCATTGCGGTAATGATATTTATTGCCTTATGCAATGTACATGCTAGATCAACTAAATAAAACGGTTTTATTTTGTCCAAAAGCAGCTATCTTGGTATTTCAATTGCTTCTGATGGGTGCCTTGATCAGATCACCAAAAAACTAATATTCATAGACCTGTTATGCTTGTAGACTTTGTTTTCTCGTGTAAAATTTTGATGCTCTCAAGAGGTATCATGTGATATGTTTTCTTAAATTTAATGCACGTCTTTAAAATTTGAAAGAAACAGTTCTGTTCTCCAAGTATGATCAAATGACTTATATTAAGGCAACAAAGCACACAAGCAAAAGAAGTCTTTAGAAGGTACAAATGACTGTTTGGGTTCATTTAAGTAGCTACTCGATACTTATCTTCACCATTTGTTTTCCAGTGCATATCTGTGGCCAGTTTAAATTTAATGTCATTCATTTTTAGTGCAACTGTGTGTCCTCCTTTCACACTAGTATGAATCTCTAACTTCCCTAAGTATTTCATCACCACGTTGTTTAACAGCGACAGTGAATGTTTGAAACACAGTATAATCTAACCGCAAATTAATGACCCAATAAGTCCATCACAGAAAGCTGGTGGGAAATCAAAGTAAAAATTATGTTCAAAACAATACGACTGGGAATTCTAAAATAATTTGTTGTCCAAAACTTTAAAAAATATGTCACTCTTAGAGATGCTAAATTCCTGGATGGTGCCATTTTGCTGACCTTGAGCAGCTTGCATTAACATTTGCATGAATGTTATGTGATAAACATTATTTTATTAATGTTAAGCAGGCTAAACAAAATATTTTCAGTTACATCACACAATAATAACAGAAAACTGAACCTTGAACCTTTAAGCCCCAATAATGACCTCCAATCAAGCAGAGGCCAAGAGATTACCAGTGGCTAAGCTTCTTGATATTTCAGCAACCTCTGTATAGTGCTACTAGGAAAAATGTACACCTAAGAGCAGTTAAGGGAAATTTCATCACTGGGGATTAAAGGGTGAAAAGCTAATATAACTACATGGCCATATTGTTACTAATAACAAAGTTATTGCAGCCTTTTTCTTCTTAATTCGACCCTACTATAACGGCTTAGTTACTTGAAAGTCCCCTTTCATGTAGTCATTATCCGTAATTCTTGTGGCCAAATTCTCTTATTCTAGTGGCAAGTATAACAGCATTTCAGTGTATCACTACAGCATTTTTACTTTGTGTTTCATTGTTTAGTGGGCACAACTTCAGAGAAGACTATAGAAAACTAGGAACACTTTCCTCGGTATTCCCCAGGGCTAGGATTGTTGCCATGACAGCAACAGCAACAAAGGAATATAAAACAAGCATTGTGAAAAGTCTGAACATGAAAGATCCCAAACTTGTAATTGCAAATCCTGACAGGCCTAACATTTTTTATGAAGTACAGCAAAGGCCATCCTATCTTAAACAAAGTAACATTAACCAGTTTGAAGAAATTCTTTCACCCATAGCAGATGAACTCATTATTGCCAATATTAAAATGCCTGTTCCTATTATTTACTCATCATCAGAAATGTTTGGAGTTGGGTATGCCTTTTTGGAGAGAAAGCTTGGGGATCACCAGTTCTACACTATTGGGGCTCCCCAAATTCCTCAAAACAGGCTTTTTGCTCAATTTCACTCGCCACAGACAGACAAAGTGAAACATGAACTTATTAGCAGCATTGTTTCAGAGTCATGCAAACAGAGAGTAATATTTGCTACAGTGGCATTTGGCATGGGGGTTGACTCTCCTTGTGTTGAAAGGATAATTCATTTTGGTGTGCCACGAACTATGGAGAGTTTTTTTCGAGAAAGTGGCCGGAGATCTGGAAGAGATGGGAGGCCTGCCACATCAACTCTTTCAACAACAATGATATTGGTGCAAATGTTGAAGGAATGCAACCTGTTATGAGAGATTACGGTAAAAACCCTCAAAATGTCTGCAGAAGAAAAATTGTGCTAAGCCACTTTGGTTTTGGCATTCCAAGTCCTCGAGACAAACACAGCTGCTGTAACATATGTCGAACTGACTGTGAGTGCTCTGAATGTGTTGAGCTACATCAAGATGTTTTGGCCCTTGAAAACATTCACATCCCTGATAATGAATTTCTTCTTTCTGGAAACAGGTGAAAGATATAAACTCAGAGCTTATAAAATACAAAGAAGAAACTGAGGCCAGCGCTAACTATTTGAATTTAAGTATGTGTTCAGGATTAACAATGACCGTAATCGATGATGTTTGTTCAACACTTCAAGAACTCTGTTCCCTTGACAGAATTATAGAAAACTACCAGTTTGGAGAAAAGAACATGCAGAAAAGATGTACAGATTATAAGTAATGTCACATCCAAATAGGCTTAAAATCCTCTGTAAGAAAATCTGCAAAACATTAGGTACCATAAATAATTCTGATAATATTTTGTTGTGATAGTTTAACTGAGGGAGCCATTCCAAGTGGCTTCCCTTGGGCTTCCTCATCATTAGCTTTAAATACTTAAATTTTCTTGGTTTTAGTACATCCTAGAACTATAAATTGAACTGAACTGAATTCCATTTTAAAGTTCCTCCTTTTAAACGCAGTAGATGACTTTTGTTATAACATGTGTACTTTACTTAGTCGTCTGCATCAGACGATTCAGATTCTTCATTTTCAGGAACTACAGATTGACCTCTTGCAAGCTGTCTCTTGTGATTTTCAAGCTAACGCAAGAATTCACCCAAGTCAATCTTCTCTCTTACACTCTTCAGCATAACAGGGAATGAAGGATGAGGCTCATCATTGGGTCTTGAATGGCCTTAGCAACCTCAGATCCCCCAGCATAATGCTTTCATCTCTATCAGCACTTTTTTTAGTGTGAGTAGTTGACGGTGGCTTGACATTTGGACTCACATCATAGGCATGCGGGATTCACTGACTCCAGTGACTGCCATTGAGCTACGAAGCACAGCCTTCTCAGTTTTATTTGCCCCCATTGAAGTTATCAGATTTCTTGTGCTCTTGATGGTATGCTCCATTTCTAAATCATTTGGCAAGTTGACTCCAATTTTCCCTTTCTTGTTGGTCCCTCTTCCCCAAATAACACGTTCGGACACCTGGTGGGTCAGCATGCACTTTACTGAAGTTAGGAGGTACATTTCTTCAATCGCATACTTTGACAATTTGTTATTGGTTTTGATAACCCACAAAAGGTATTTCCAATTAATAACATTTCTATCTCCATCACCTTCATGAATTGTGTCATTCAGTTGCATAAGAACTATGAACAGTTCAATCAAAGAGAGGCCATAATTCTGGACTTTGTCATCGACTGTCACACCCAAGTGGAAAACATGGTAGTCAACAAACTTCCCAAGCACCTTATCAAAGTGTTCCCTCTTTGCCTCCAAGCTTGCATTTCGTTCAGGCAAATTTTTTGTAGGCTCACTTTCAGTGTTTTCCATACCAAAGAATTCTAGGAAAGCTTCCACTAAGTAAGCCCTTCCAACTGACACAAAGAACTCCTCATATGCATCAGGGTTGTTTTTGACAGTTGTTGGAACATTGTAGCGCATAATACGCTCTCTAAAATACTTCAGTGTACCAATTTCACGTGTTGAATTCTGGTTCATCAGGACATCATTAATGAGCTGAAAATAAATACAAAACAATAATAATTATTGTTAATTAAATTATGTATTTTATTTTGCCAAGTAGAATCCAAACTCGACAATTGAAAAGTGGGCTATGAAATGTCCCTCAGCCTTTTTATTCAATGTGTTAAGAACTGTTTTGTATAAAAGAGCTTTTGATTAATCTCTGCTTTGTTTTATATATTTATATGAAGAAGAGATGATTATTACTATCATTACAATATAGATATAGTATTAGGAAACTTAAAGAATTCAACNTCACTGACTCCAGTGACTGCCATTGAGCTACGAAGCACAGCCTTCTCAGTTTTATTTGCCCCCATTGAAGTTATCAGATTTCTTGTGCTCTTGATGGTATGCTCCATTTCTAAATCATTTGGCAAGTTGACTCCAATTTTCCCTTTCTTGTTGGTCCCTCTTCCCCAAATAACACGTTCGGACACCTGGTGGGTCAGCATGCACTTTACTGAAGTTAGGAGGTACATTTCTTCAATCGCATACTTTGACAATTTGTTATTGGTTTTGATAACCCACAAAAGGTATTTCCAATTAATAACATTTCTATCTCCATCACCTTCATGAATTGTGTCATTCAGTTGCATAAGAACTATGAACAGTTCAATCAAAGAGAGGCCATAATTCTGGACTTTGTCATCGACTGTCACACCCAAGTGGAAAACATGGTAGTCAACAAACTTCCCAAGCACCTTATCAAAGTGTTCCCTCTTTGCCTCCAAGCTTGCATTTCGTTCAGGCAAATTTTTTGTAGGCTCACTTTCAGTGTTTTCCATACCAAAGAATTCTAGGAAAGCTTCCACTAAGTAAGCCCTTCCAACTGACACAAAGAACTCCTCATATGCATCAGGGTTGTTTTTGACAGTTGTTGGAACATTGTAGCGCATAATACGCTCTCTAAAATACTTCAGTGTACCAATTTCACGTGTTGAATTCTGGTTCATCAGGACATCATTAATGAGCTGAAAATAAATACAAAACAATAATAATTATTGTTAATTAAATTATGTATTTTATTTTGCCAAGTAGAATCCAAACTCGACAATTGAAAAGTGGGCTATGAAATGTCCCTCAGCCTTTTTATTCAATGTGTTAAGAACTGTTTTGTATAAAAGAGCTTTTGATTAATCTCTGCTTTGTTTTATATATTTATATGAAGAAGAGATGATTATTACTATCATTACAATATAGATATAGTATTAGGAAACTTAAAGAATTCAACCATCTTTTCTGATTAAGTGTGTCATAGGCAGACAGATTTAATAAATCCAGTTTGTACTTTTATGCTCAACAGTTGTTGAACGGAAAAGCACTAGATTAAGTATAAAAATCCAAATAATAGTATGTAACTCTTGCAGTCACCATATATATTACGTATGTTGCATAGCTGTACTTACAGTTAAGAATGCTTGCTTTGTATGAAAGAGCTCTATAACATCAGGCTGAGAATGTTCCAGTCGGTCCTTAGAAGTGTGAGCTCCAGCCCTTAGTTTACGCCCATACGTAAAATGCACTCTTGTCAACTGATCGCCACCAGATGGACAGTTAAAGTCAGCTGCGATGTGGGTTTCTTGTTCAGGACCTTCATTATCTGTAGCTGCTTTAAATATTGTTTCAAATGTGGCAGATGTCTACCACATCTGCATATTTTTTTTTCATCTTTGAATTGAATTGACAGTGGAAACACTTCTGACTTCGAGCTCATTTCATTGGTGTACCTGTGCAGAATGTGCTGTGGTACCAGCTTCTTAACTGCTGCAAATTGAGGTTGTTTGAAGAATTCTAAAAAGATTCTCCCCACAAGAACTTTGAAAACTGACTGAAGTTTTTTGACTTCCTCTGAGGTAAGGAGGTAACTCTCCTTAGAAAAATTCTGAATGTCACCAAGTGGCCTTACATTGTCCAAGTGGCTGAAATCAATCCTCTCAAAAGCAACAATGCTTGCAAACCAGTTGTGCTGCTTGTTCCTGTGATCTACCCTCATGTTCTTCACTGTTGTTTTGCAGTTCAAATTGTCGTTAACAGTGTAGAATTTCTTTCCAGCTTTGACCAGTTCAACAATTTTGTCATGAAAGTGTCCTCCCATGAGGTCCAGTAGATTGATCATAGTGGTGTGTGACAAGCAAACCCTTTGCTTTTCTAAACGTCCATATGTCTGAAATAATAACAAAAAAACAATTTAAAATGATAGTCATCATCAAATTAAAGAAAATCCTAAAAGAACCCCGGGGGAGGTACTTCCATATAAGAGGCTAATGGGGATGTGCTGCTGGATGGAGTCGCATTTTCACGACTGGATTGACTATAATGGGCTCGCATTTTCAATAGATTTACTAGAATGGGGATACACATTTTCTGCTTATCTGTACAAAGAGCACTAATGTATGTGTGACATTGTGGTCTGTGTTTTTTCCAATGAGTTTATGACACACACGCAAAAGATCACAGTGCCTGGTGCAAAAATTAAGAAGGTGCATCTGTACTGGCGCAATTTGTAATAATCATCGCACTTTGTAATACCTGTCGCAATTTGTAATGAATCCATCGCACTTTGTAATACCTGTCGCAATTTGTAATAATTCCATCGCACTTTGTAATAATTTTTTGAGAGTGATTCAACTTAATATAATGCCAAAATATGCATGGTACTTCATAAACAAAGATGATGACGTCTGCTAGCATGTAACATGTTCGTAACATTTTCTTTGGTCAAACATGCATGTCTTCCGCTATAAATTTTTCTGCCTTGATTAATCACGTGACTAACTAGAAACGCTTTTATGAAAGACATGAAACTTCCTGTGACATATCACCAAAAAGATATAAATCAAGTTTAAATTAAAAAATATTTAAATAAGAAAGGCAACATTTAACAACAGAAAATTCATGAATAACCTGGCATGCGTCGTCCAAATCCATGTTTGCTTGCCACGTGACACTCGAAGTCTTCGGCGGGGGGGGGGGG